GAAGTTCATGATACCCCTTCAGAAACAGACACCAATTCCTCAGGCTGAATTTTTGGGCTCTCTTTTTTCCCGAGCAGCATTCCCAGTGTAGAACTCTTAGGGCTTTGTGTACACCCAGACACCAATAAACGCTTTCTAAATTTAACTGAGTGTCAACATCTTGCCTCTCTGCAAGACAAAGCCTCCAGCTGAGCTCCAAGATCAAAGCACATGAGACCTGCTAACTCTCACAGCTGCTGTATCCTCCAGCTTAGCACCAACTCCACTACCTGCCATTCAGAGCAATCCTTAAAGCTCAAGATATTGGCTGCTAGTTGCTCCTCTAAATACTCGATTGTCTCAGGCAGCAGCAAGGACAGACTGCTCCAGAAAGGCAGGCAAGCAAGGGGGCAAGAGTCACAGCTAGGCAAGCAGCGGCGGCAACCTCACCACAAAGGAGTCAGGAAGTTGAGTCAGCAATTCAAGGTCAGAACCAAGTCTGGAGACAGTAAGCAAGAACAGTCACAGTTCAGTGATCATCCAGCAGGTCCCTAGAGATGAGCCAGGTCTGAGGTTAAGCTAGTAAATCAAGCCAGTGGGTGAGCAAGAGGGTGACAATCAGGAACGTACAAGACTGGGAGCAAGCACAATTAAAATGCTTCTGCAGGGTAGCTCAGGTGGGGGCCAAGCACAAGAGCTTCAGGTTTAAAGCTACCCCCAAGTGAAGGAGGGGAGCCCCCCTGAGGGTCCTTAGAAGCAAGGAGCTCCTGGACAAGTAATCTGAGCAGTGAGCTGGCCTCTAACCACCAGCTGAAAGAAGTCTTGAGAGCCAGTTACTGCAGGCAAGCTCAATCAGCAAATCCTGTATTTGAAAAAAAAAAAAAAAAGGACAAGCTAAGTACTAACTAGGAGATGGTTTTAGGTGGAAAATTCATCTTGCCTAAGGCTTCACATGTAAGCTCATAAGAATCATGGTAAAGAGGAATTTTAAACACACACTGCTTAACTGAGGCTCTACCATTTCAGGTTGCTGGCCTTTGTGATCTCTATTCCTGTAACACAGTGATCCTTGCAAATTAATAAACCATGAACTTCTCAATCTATATTCACATTCTTCTCTTGGCTCTTGCACTTAAAACTTAGCCATATCAACATTGACTGCCTTTGTGTGAATCTAGTCCTTACTACATAAGTAAACTGGAGCCACAAAAATATGCAAGTTGGTTAGCATCTCCAGCATGCACCAAAGGGACTAGAATCTATTAAGTGACGAAGAGAAGAGGTCAGAAGCCATCTCTATTTGGATGTAAAAAAAAAAAAATTATTTAATCTTTAAAATTAAAGGATTTTAAAGACATTAATGGAATATTATTAAATATTTTAAACTCTCTGTAAGGGGATATATTTATATTATAATGTCTGTAATGAAAACCCGTATTTACAAATTCGGATTTTGCAGTGTGAACCTTGAAAGTTTCATTAGAGGCTTGCTAAATTCTGTTTATGGTACTAAAGTGTGGATTTTATTTCAAAATTCTTGTCTTCTGGAAAAAGAAAGGACTAATAAAAAGTAATTTCATTTGGCAAATCATCAAACTCATTCATCTCATTGTGTCCAGTAAGGTGGAAATGATTACACAAGGTGGTAAAAAACCCTGCTTCCTGTAAGTCATTAGACATTTATGTTTGTCTTCTCTAAGTCAGGATTTGATCCCAGTAGTGTAGGGATCAGTTTATACTAATGAATTACGACGGCAATTTGAATTTAATAAATTTCTATGGAATTACCATGCGATTGTTTCATTCATTGAGGTATCACTGCTGGCCAGAACACTTCTTTGCCTCTTTGCATATTCTTTCTCGTGTTCAGCTATTTGCTATGAAAACAGACAAAGCTATTTCTGGCAACTACACCAGCTATGCAAGAGAGTTCTGTATCACTTCTATTAAAAAAATTCCTCTTCCTTACCGATTTCTGTACACACTACAGGAGTCAATTGTCAAGGTAACTCATATCTCACCAGATCAATGATCTACCTTATTGAGGCCTCTCCAGCACAGAAGTTTCCCATTCCATCTTTTTATCCTTCCTTGGAGGTCTGTAACAATTTCCTATAAATGTTTTACTACTTCTTTTAGCTATATTCTGTGTTTGTCACATTAGCTAACCCGCATATGTAATTTTACTTAAAATACCACAACCTCTAACTAGATCATTACATCACCTACCATCTTCTGAATTTGTCCCTTTGGTAAATTGTATACTCTGATATTTTAATATTAAACCAGGTAACCAAGAGCCAGTCATATTTCTACTTACAATGTTTAATATTTGGTTCTGAAGCATCACTTAATGTTCCTCACATTTTTACACAAATCCTCTTCTAAAAGAAAGTGAATTTCCTTTCTCTAGGCAAGGCTTTCTATCTATATTATTCACTTCAACAACTTTAAAAATTACTTATCCTTTAGAAGTTGCCTAATCTCTCTCCCATCTTTCACTACCTATCCTTTTGCTAAAACAACACACATAAAATCGAGTACTAAAATTACAAGACTACTTCCCTGCTAATTTCTTATACAGATACAGCCTGTCAGTTCTAGATGACTTTGGATCAGCCCCAAACAAAAGAAAATATTCTGGGTAGTATAATACTGCATGGAACAATGTGATCTGTATAAAAAATCACTTACTGAATCACCAGCACCTCTTTTTACTCCTAGGAGACCTCCCATCGAAGCAATGCCTGAATTAGTGTAGAGTGATTTGTGGCTTTCCAGCTGTCATTCATTAATTCTTAGGAAATACAATATACAATACAATAGTACTCAGACTGAGGTTGCAGTCTGCAATGTTTTAAGAAGAGTGTAATTTGTCTGCTGAAAGTTCTTTAAAATTGTTTTCAAACAATAACCGTAGCCCATTATTACTATAACCCCTCAAACACATTTCACTCCCGACGAAATACAGTGTCGATCGCACAGACCCATGAAGGAGGAAGGGTAGGGAATTGCATCCGTGGAGAGTCTTGTCTATGAAACGAACTGCTGAGCTGAAGACAAGGGGTTTTACTCCAGTACGTTGCCCATTTGTGTTTCTTTGGCAGACAGGAAAGCATAGGCAAGCCTAACAGCAGGGGTTAGAAATTACCTGGGCACTCTGATCCACCGGCTTTGGCACTTTGCCATCGGTCTGACCTGTGAAATTGCCCTGTTTTAGAAATAGTATTGCTTAGCTGTAATTCACCGCTAGCTGCCTCGTTTCTTTGACCACAGACAGGAGAGGCTGTTGTGACGTACCGGCCCAGTTTGAGGATCCGAGAGCCTGGGGACCTACCTCAGAGGGAGCCAAGGAGCTGCTTGCACAAAGCCAGTCAGAGAGACTGTGTAATGCCTGCTTCATCAAGGACTTTTGGCAAAATCTATGACAAGTTCAGCTCAGCCAAAAACAGCGCACCTTTAGACATGCACTGTAGCAGAACTTGAGCACACAGGGAAGTTTTCTGGTGGGTCTCAGGCACTCCCACCTTCCCAGAAATCTGAGAAGGCTGCATAGGGATATTTTTAGGTCTATTGCTCTCTTGAATTTACATGTTAATTAGCCTGAACTGTACTTAAGAGCTTTTTCCCCCCTTTAACTCTTACACAGTTGATTTAAGAAGTAAGTAAAAAGATAGGAGCAGGAGGTAAACCTGAAACAAGAATCACAACAAATACTGAGGTTTGAACAAAGCAGAGCTGTCTTTCAGTGTTTAGTAGGCACCATGACAGCAACTATTTTAAGGACGGATTTACAAAACAATGCTTCAAGTATTTTTATGGCGCACTCCTCCCATGCTCAGGGGTTTTCATGCTTTTAGCTATTACATCTGCAACTGAAGCTAACTGTGAAATTAGCAATTTATTTATCCCATGGTACATACACACACATTTGCAACAGTAAAAGTGAGTAAAGGTCAATAATGAACAGGGTGAGCAAAAGTTAGAGCCTTTTTTACCAGATTTTCTCATTCAGTATTTAATCAAATACCTGCAGAGATTCCCATATTGAAACATTTCCCTGGTCCTTGTTGCTTATATCCCTAATACTGTTAACACACCGCTGTTATTTCTAAACAAAATAATACAAACTCTGCCCAAATAACAAGTCAGGACAAAGGAAAGTTGACTTTAAAAAGGTCCGCCTGAATTGCAAGGAAGCAGAAGATGCCATTAAGTATAAAATAGAACAATAAAGGCCTACAATTTGTAAACAGCTTTTGGTTCTGTGACATTTAGTAAGAAGACATCTCCTTAGGAATGTATTAGGAAATTTTTCAAGATTTTATCTTTACAAAAGCTACATTAGAACTTGTAGTCTGTTTTGTGTATTGTGTCCTATTCTTAAAAATAGCTAAACACAAAGGGAAAAATATCTGTTATGGAAATTAACTAATTCTGATTATTTAGCCACAGATTTGAAAGAAGATTAAATAGGATATAAAATCATTACTAAACTTATCTGGAAGGTAAAACTGATAAATAAAAAAGCATACTGAAGGCATGTTAACAGTGATAAAATTATCTAGACCACTCTCTGTGTGCACATAATTACCGATAATTTAGATTTATCCATCTGAAATCAAGATGTAATTATGCATTATTCTATTTTATATTTATACACCTCTGTAAAATAGAAAACAGATGTTCCTAAGAAAAGTGGAATCTGAGACATCAGAAGAAAATTATATTTTATCTCCTTCATTCATCCAAAATCAATGGAATATAATAATCACCACTGTTTCTGAGTGATTTTGTACGGAATTTAAGGTAATAAGTAGATAAGAACTGACATTTTCTTGCAAAAACAACAGCAGTAATACCTGTATAAATCTGATGTGTGAGCAATACTTTCTGAAAGTTTAGTGAATGCCTCTTCAATTTTCTAATAATTTCTGTAAGGATGGAATTTTTTTTAATTGTGCATTTTAATTAAACTAGGACTACTACTATCGTATCTATAAAATGAGAACCTGAGTTACCTGTATGGCTGTGAGAATATTGGCTAACGCCTGGCCATACGTGTCATGACAGTGAACAGCAAGAGCACTCAGAGGAATTTCTTTCATAACAGCTTCCAACATTCTTTTCATACTTCCAGGAGTCCCCACACCAATTGTGTCCCCCAGAGAGATTTCATAACAGCCCATACTGTACAGCCGCTTAGATACCTGATTAAAAACAGAAAAACACAAAGAGGTCAAGATGAAAGAATATAAAATAGGCTCAAGAACATACATTAAAAAGGACATACTTCTGTACAGGTTTCAGGTTTTGACCCACCAAGGTGGACCTATGTACCAGAAACTCTAATCATTCTTGAAAACTGTCACCCAAGAAGAACATCCCATACAACCTCTTATTTTAAATGTATAGTTCTGCTTCTGTACATGGAATAACCAACCAAGCCAAAGCCGTCAAAAATTTGCTTTTGACTCTCCCAGAGAATCCAAATAAGCAAGATTTTACACTATGAATGAAGTTTCTGTCAAGTCCTTTCCCAACATTTTCCTTTCTTTGGGTATTTCTCAGCTGTTTGGTTTTCTCAGTGTGATTTTCAGATTACAAATTGTGCAGGGTAAAGACCTGCCCCTTTGCTCATTGCACGGAGCCAAGCACATGGCTGAACTAAGACAATAAATAATTAACAAGAATCCTGATTTAGCTTGGCACTGAAAACATCAATGAAAACTGAAGTTTTAACATGTTGTAGTTAATATTAATTTTGCTTGCTTTTCATGAAATCAAACATTAAAACACTAACAAAGCAAAACCGTAACTTAATTAACATTCTAGCATTTAAGTTTTAAATTTTTTCTTAATACCAAACAAAATCCTAAACAAATAGTTCCCACTTATGTAAGTAGAGCCTTAAATGTTTCTGGAATTATGTCTTTGAGAAGTTCTCTGTACGAGTAAAAGATTTGAGGTCTGGCCCCATAATGTTTTTACGGAGAGAGACATACACTAGGAAGCACAAAATTATTTTTGCACCAGAAATTCTGCTTTAGAAACTGAATGTAGGAACTTCCTCTCTGAGATGCACTGAATTTATTTGGAAGAGGTTTCACCTTATTTTCAGTTCCTGAGTATGTTTGTCACCTTTAGCATTCCCCACTGTGTATCAACGATCCCAAAAGGCCACTCCACTGGAACGGAATCCCAGTCTGGAAATTAACTGTTTAGAAATGAAAAAATATGACCTTTTTCCAAGACATCTTCAGTTGCACTGCACTCTGCTGTTAAAGCAATTCCAGGACTTTGTCAGCTTCCTCAGATATATTCACAGTAATCCCACTGACAAAGTGCTGCACCAGCAGTCTCAGAAGTGCTGGATTAATATTGCTGTTGACTTAATTCAAAGAACAGCTGAAAAAGAACTTCAAGTGATCTCAATCGTTCTGCTTAAAGCTTGGAAGTCCTATGACTACTGCAAAGGTAGTAAAACTCTGTGCTTTAAAGTCAAAGAGCCCCTGGTTCGCATCAACATAAATTCAATATATGCTTTATGAAGGGACATTCACCAGATTGCAAAAACGATTCTCTCTTGCAGCATATTTTTATACCATCAACACATGGCAGGTGTTTTAACTGGACTACTGTTGTAAGAAAAAGAAAGATCATGTGCAGTTAGAGGTAGATTACCTCTAGTTAATCCCCAAATTTCAGGTTTTGTTTAAGATCAGAGTAGAAGCAGCAGACTGCATTTTTTTCTCATGTTCTTTTTCATTCATGATTCTAAGTTTTTCTAGATGAGCATTTTAGTGATGACAAAGACATTATACAAACTGCTAGAAATCCTGTTGCATTCACTTCTTTCCCATGGTCAGTCCTTAGGTTTTTCAGCTTCTGAAAATAAAGTTCCGAAAGATGAAAGAAGAGAAGGGCAAACTCTGCTAACAAGCTGAGCATCATCACTGACTTGTCATGATCTAACCTTAAACTGACCCTTAAAAAGAAATCTTTATTTAATTTCAAGAAGAATGTGCATGCTTGAAAGCTGAATGGGAGTTTTCATATTGGATTTTCTATCGTACCACAGTAGGAGGCGGCCCATTAGTTATAGTTTTGTAAGTTTTCAATGTGGATTTTTGGGAGGAGGGTGGGGGAGAAGAGAACACACTGTTTTGTCAGTGTAATCAGAATGTGATTACGAGCTTGCAGGTTTCTTGATTGAACAGGGTTGTGTTCTGCACCACTGAGCAGTTTTACTATGCATGAGTCTTGTGCTACTCCCCTTGGGAGCGCTGCCCTGACACCAAGCATTGATCAAAATGGGAGTTGGTGACCCAACACTGCAACCCCTTAGGCATGTAAACAATCCTACTGCTGGAAATAATATCTAAATCTATACTCTTAAACTGAATACAAAAGGTCATAATTGAGTTATAGATTATTTTAAGCAAATAACAACATAAAACCACATTGCAGTCCTTGTGCTGTAAGGGAAACTATGTAATAATCCAACAGCATTCAAAGAGGAATAGGCACATTTTCTGTAGCTTGATCAGCCCGTATGCTGCATAATACTTAGATGAATTCACTGCTCTAGGCTAAAAAGAAGTTAAGGAGAGAAAGAAGCAGGCAGAAAGGTAAAACCAGCCAAGTATATGACTGGAAGACAATGGATAACACAACTGGCTTCAAGGATGTTATACGGTGCTTCCAACAACTATCAAGTCTTATTTGCCTAAGGTTAAAATTCACAAACCACCGGATGATAAATAGTTAAACACTGACTCCATTTCAAGAAAAAGCAGAGTGATAAAAAGGATTATACAGTTTATTTTAATAGATATGAAACGTGGGGTTTTTGAAATAAAGAACCGTATGGATATACCAGATGGATTCTATAAGTCTGAAGGCATCTGAAGTTTGCATTCACTAGATAACTATGTGCAAAACAGTTATGTACCTAGTAAATCAGAAATGCATGTAGTCTGGTTAATGAGCCACCTCTCCTAATTGGTTTTGCTTCAGTTAAAAAATCTTTTGTTTAAAAAAACAGTAAAAAAATTGGTCACAGTCATTGTCTGCAGAAGAAAGCCTAAACCTTTCAATCATAGCTGCTGATTGCAATGCACAGTCAAGGGAGTCACACACTCCCATCCCGAGAAAGAGGATGACCAGAGAGGCAGCGCTTTGAAAGCATTCACCACACGGCCAGTAATTTTGATAATTCGGATTCAGCAAAGGATGAGTGCCTGTGTTTATGTAAAAGCCATTAACAGCTAATCAGATGCTTCTATATAAACATCAGTGCTTCCTGCATCAGGGCCTCAATAACTTTAATGAGGCAGCTTTTATTCTTAAAAACATACACAGTGGTGTTCAGGGACACAAGAAGACACTTACTAGGATGAAGACTGAAAATAAAATTTCTGTGTCAGTAGAAGTTTTGAACATTAAGTAGCACTCCCAACTAGCAAACTGAAAAGGAGCTCTTCTGTGCAAGGAAAGTAGTTAAAAAACAAGCAACACGTGGACAGAAGCCTGTTGGGGAACATCAACATATTGCAGTAAGCAATTTACCAACAGCACAGCAGAACCTGTCAGCACCAGTCTAACCAAAGCTGTGTCACTTCTAACTTTCACTTCATATTAAACAAAATTAACTTAGAAATACTGAGTACCTTCCAATTTAGCTACTTTTCTCAGAGTGTGAGTATATGTGGCTGCTGCTGGAGAAGTACTGGCACAAGTTCCAACTGGAATGTATACTAGAAGAAGATGCACAAGAACACAACCTGAAAGCCACACATGCAGAACACAATATATCAGACAAACGTTGACTAGCTGCTAGTGCTATAAAGAAAAAAAAAAAAAAAGTAGTTTGGAGATTCTGCTAGATCACCAAATGTAGGTGATCAAGTGTAACAGGAAGACAAGTCTTTCTCCAGAAGGAAGGCCAGCGTGTTCTGCCTTGTGCCTCTTGAATTCTCTCCACTTTCTTCTCTACTGTCCATTTCAGCTTTTGTGCCCTCTTTGCCTTCCTGCAAAATTTAACACTTGTGTTTCACTCCTTCACTCATCTCTTCCTCTGCTGGAAAAAAAGGCTGGACTAAGACATCATCTTTCTTCTCCTTTATCCTAAATGGGAAAAGGGGGTGGGGAGGGAAGGTGCAGCTTATTCCACCATAGCAGCAGAACCACTTAGTTGTAGGAAATAAGTAGGTAGGAAATCATGTTGGGGATGAGTTCTGGTTCATGTGTCACTCACGTGACACTCGCCAGAAGCACAATGTTGTAGCAGTGGCTCTAGCAGCTGACAGCACAGTATGCTTACGCCAGCATAAAATGGATTTAAAAGCAGATACCCTTTTGCAAGAGGCTGTGCTGGAAATCACCTCGTACAACATGGTGCACTGACATATGTGTTTGAGTCTATTCCCTTAAGTATTTCCTTACCTTCTTGTCGGAGGAAACAGCACATAATATTTTTCCTCATGACTGATAACAATCAAAACATACTATTTTCCTGAGATTTGACTGCATATGGTTGAATGAGGTTATGCACTCAGTTTTAGTATTAGTTATGTTTTCTATTTGTTTTCCTTAAAATTTATCCGGTAAAAAACTTATTAGGATTAAGTAGAGAACATTACATATAGACATTTTAAAATGTATTTTTGATTCACTAAAAAGACAAGCCAGAAGTTCACTCTTACTTCTGCCACTTTAGCTGGTATGATGTTTCCTTCATATGGGCATCCCAATGCACATGACACATACCTACAATAAAAAGAACACACAAAGATACTTCTGTTTTATATATGCGTATCTGTATCCATCCATGTTATATATAAAAAAGGTTAAATATAATTTTGAATATTTAAGCCAATGTAGAATAAATATTTGAATGAAAAGTTAAAATTTCATCAGAAGAAAATAACAGGTTTATCAATTTTCTTTTTAAATCACAGAACAGAGATTTATAGCTTTATTTATGGTCAGTGTCCGTCAGAAGTGGTAAAAGAACTGGCAATGCAGCTAAGCTAATGCTGTTGCAGAAGACTTCAATTTTTCTTGGTACTTCCTTCTGAAGTTATAAGACCCAGCTCAAGTTTTGCCTCGCCTGGCCCACACAAGGTATTCAGGGAGGATAGCATTTTCTTCCTTGTGCCAGCTACCTGGATCATAAAGAGCAACACATAGACACAAGCAACTTACAGCAACCCCACCATCTCAAAAGTCATTAGAATTGTGATGAATGGGGTAGCTTTCACCCTCTATCCCTCTACTGGCATGTCTGTCCCCATGCCCTAGAAGACTTACAGCTCCATTGCAAGTTGTAGTTTAGGTATGCCTTGGGACAAGAAGAAACTGAGAAGCCAGACTGTGTCTCCCAGCAGCTACCAGCTCCACAAAGCACAAAAATTGAAAGCTACCACCAAGCCTCTATTGTTCAGTCTTAATGTTGTGTTAGCATAGAATTTGGTTTAAATTTATTTTTTAATGACAATTAAGAGCCATGAAATGCCGATTAAACTTCAAATTGTTTAGGAATAGGATTAAACTAACCAGAAAGAGCCATTCAAAACAAGTGTGACTGTAGACGGTTTTACAACAGAGGCAGGCAGAGCCCCAGTCCCAGTGGGAGGTTGCTCAACTGCTTAATAAAAGAACAAGAGCCTTCATCGATCCCCCATCATTCCCTTTCCCTTAACACTAAAGGATATAATGTAAAATTATACACTGTTTAATGCAAACAGGATTGAACAGATGCCAGTTTGTATGTAGCCAAGGTCCGTAGGGTAAAGTATGTATTGTTTCTTTGCAGTCGATGGAGAAACTGATTGATAGAATGTGAAATTAGGATGAGTAACAGGCAAAAATAAAAAAAAAAGTCAACATTTTAATGCATAGAACATATTCCATCCCCTATAAGAAGGTACAGCGTTGGCACAGTGGAAGTAGCAGTAAGAATGAAGTAAACCCTGAACTTAAAAAGAACTTGATTAGCCCTGACAAAGAAATGGAAATTACTTTTGTTTCCACAAAAGTGGTTGGGTCCATTACATTCTCTGCTCATAATTTTAGTCCAGATGCCTACTAGGCATGATTTCAATTATCTGTGTGTCATTATGAAAACCAGGTTTTTGAAACTTGGTCATGGACTTCATTAAATATCACCCCAATTTAGATGTCACTGTTTAAGTTTCAAAATTCTAAATTTTCTTATCTACATTAAAGTAGCTACTGTTAACAGTTAAACACTGCCCTGCCTTTCAGTGACACATAACTCAAAAACAATTCAGGATAATTTCCTTATTTTTTTTTATGCATACACAGTTTTTCAAATGAAACCAAGCATGAAAAATTTCAGTCCCAAAGGATTGCTCTTTCCATAACACTAGAGTCCTTAGAACTAGTGAATACAGACTTCTACTGAAATTATTTTGCAACATCACCCACAGCACTTATTATGAAGTGAGCAAGAACAGTATTAAATACAAAGTAAATGCAAAACATACAGTACGTATGTGCACATGTTCCCTTTAATTACATATATCCTTACATGTTCCTAACGGCTACATATGTCAGATCAAGAAGACATGCATTTGGTAGTGATAATGGGACATGAATGACATCTGGAATGGAGTAGGGCAAACAAAAGTAAAAGCAGGCCAAAAGGTATCTAGAGAACAAGGGAATACTCCCTGTGGTTCACACCAGTGAGCAGAAACTCGCCCAAGCTCACATAATTCAGCTGGGCCTGCTGGGGTAGGAAAGTATGTGGTGACCTGAGGAATCTGCCTACTACATGTACAAATCTGTTTGAGATTATGAACTCTCTGCATGCTTACACCATTGCAACTAGGCTGACATTTTAAACAAGGAAAATATGATAGAGATAATCTATCTGGGCATCTGATATGCAATATTAAACTGGAGAAAAAAGAATTTGACAGGTAAAGAACTTCCTACCAGAGAGAGAACAAAGTCCTGTGGGGAATGAAAGAACTGTTTTTCAGTAGAGTTCATCAAGGATGAGCTTGGGAGAATTTTATCTAATATTTTCATTTAATGAATTGCCATTAAAAGTAGAGATATGGTGATAAATTTAATTTATTGATACTGTCAATACCAAAAAAAAGCACTGAGGTTCCATGCAGAAAGGACAGGAGCAATAGAAATGGGACTCAGTTGATAGCAATGACAAAGAAAGTGAAATGCTTAAAATGAGGCTGTAAGAGTAAAATGCACTCCAAACATATATCAGGATAATAATTTTCAATAGAGGACATAACATATAAATTCCATTTGACAAGGTCTCGCTATATTCTTATTGGAAAAAGTAATGCAACCTGGAACAGATGCAGGCAAGGGCTGAGTACAGCTAGCAGGGGTACAGAGAGCCTAGCATATGAAAGGCAAAAATATGCATGTCTATGTGAAAGAGGGAAGAAAATCAGGTGTCTGGTTTGATCATTTGCCAAGACATCTAGACTTCAGGTGGGATGCTTTGTAATTGCACTTGTGTGGTTCCAGATTAATAAACTTAGTGAGAGGAAATAGCTTTCAATAGGAAGGTAGATCTGTTATCTACAGATACATTTGGCTGCTACATTTTCGTGTATGAAATAACCCATAAGGCATTAAAAGCACAAGGGAATCCAGCCAAAAAAGAGTCCTAAGACCTCCACCCACACCCCTCCAAAATGGGAGACAACTTCGAAGAACATGCTGAAGAACTGCTTAGAAAGAAGAAAATTAACAAGACAGAGCCATAGAAAGCAACAAAACCCACAACTTTAAAGAAGAGTCTGGTCAACTGCAGCAAACACTACTGACAAGTCAAGAAGAATGAGGATAGACTACTGTTTCTGAGATCTTGTCATCAGGGAGTTTGGTGAGAGCTGTTGCAGTTGCAAGGAAGGAACAGAAGCCAAAGTGTAGGAGTTCTAGGAGGGAATCACAGAAGAGGGTCTCCAGACAGTAATTATAAACAGCGCCTTCAATGAGTTTAGGAACAAAGAAGAGATAGGCGATGAGGTACGATATGAAGAACCAAGTAGGGTCAAAGGTGTAATTTTTAAGAGGCAAATGCTTGCTTGTGTTGCAGTGGAAAAGAGCCAGAGGATAGTGAGAGGTTAAGAAAGAGAATAAGGGAGGGGAGAAATAAGAGGAAGAACAGAACATGGGGTCACTGGGGCAAGTGGAAGGGGTACAGATGGAAAGGAGACAAGAAACTCCTGCTGCTCTGACAGTGGAGGAGAAAGAGAAAAGATTAGGGGAGGGGAGGGAGAAGAGAGTAACAGAAGGAAGAGCATACTGTATCTATTTTTCCTTAGGAGAAAAAGCAAGATCCTATGCAAAGAAAAGCAGCAGAGGGAAAAAGAGTGAAGAGTTTGAGCAAGGAGTTACAGAGGCAACTGGGATTTAATTTGGGGATTCAATTAAGTTGGAGAATACAGCTGTTTTCTAAAAACATGGCAGGACTGAAAGAAAAAAAGACTTTGTAATGAAAAAGACTGTCTTGGTCTCAGGATATTCACCAGAGACACTCCACAGTATGAGAGCAGAAGCAAATATCTGGGAGTTCACAAAGAAGACTCTGTGATGGAAGTGTTTAATTCTAAGTATGTGCTTAAAACTCTGCTAAATCAAGGCCAGACGTTTTAGTAGCTTGACTATGTCTTTAGTATGCAATCAAGGAAAGAGCCCATGCAACCAGAGGTGAAAAGAAGGACCTGCAATAAGTGAACATATCTATACAGCTGCTTTAGGAACACACAGGTAAATGCTGGTTTGCTCACTTAGGTTCTGTGAAAACAGAATTCCTCCCTTTAATAAAAAGTAATAAAAAGAAGGTCTCTACTTGTTTCACCTGGCAGAGTGTACCAAGCCTCTTGCCTGTTCTGCAGAATTCACTGCAGGTGAGTATCATTTGATCTTCTCCTAAATTGTTTTCTATGCATATAAAAACAATTAAAAAAATAAACCCCAACAACTTTACTGTGTAATATTTTGGACAAAAATGCTGAACAGCCTCTGGGGATGGGGAGGGAGAAGGAAGAGGAAGAGAGTTTTCAATTTCTTCCAGTAAGCCAAAACTAAATTGCAATGTTCCACAAATGGTATAGACAGTGTAAGGTCCCCACGATCAAGGTCACTAGGAATGGTGATAATCACCACACCAGCCCAATGACTGTGAAGTGCAGGATATAAAACCACAAACAGGGTAAATGAGCAAACTTTTCATAACCAAAGTGTGTTAAAAGGAAAATGAATCCAAGCAGAAACTGAACTCCACATTGTAATCAGCCCTTTGTCAGCTTGTTTCAGCAAGCGTTCCAGAGCCAGATCCACAGCTGCTACCACAGCTGGAAGCACAGAGCCTCCTGAGAAGCCAGTTGCAGACTCAGATGCTGCTGTTTCCTGTTTATTATTATAGTGTAAGTTTGCATATAATTTACCATGTTCACTGCAGATGTATTTATTTTTATTGGATGTTCGTGCTAAAATGTATATGCCTATCATTTGGTGAATTCATAATATTAAGGTTGATATATTCTGTCTCTTTGTAAAGGAAGCCATTTGTTAAAAAACAGGCAATCTTTACTGTAAGGAGAGAGGAAATACAAAGAAAAGAAGAGAAAAAGGAGATTCTTCCAGAAACAGAATCTCTAAGCCAAGTCCAAAATTTGTAAATGAGGCCAGAATTCTTTTTCCGCGTTTGATTTGGAAAAAAAAAAAAGAAAAAAAACCTCCTCTCCATGTCTTTAGTG